AAAATGACTAACTTCTCAAGCTGATTATCCAGTATTTCCTTTTCTAGACCTTCTTACTCTAACAGCAGTGTTTTACACAATTGAATACACCTTAGTTTTTTAAAATACTTTTTTCAGTTTGCCTCCAGGACTCTACACTTCCCTCTTCATCTCCCTACCTCAAGGACTATATTTTCTCTGTCTTCTTTTCTGGATTTTTTTTTTTTTTTTTTTTTGGAGAGGCAACCGTTTAACAATGGAGTGTCTCCCTCCTAGGATCTGATGTCTTCTCAAAGCTGTTTACATTCACTCCTTTAGTGATCTCAGCCTGACTCCGGGTTTTATATACCGTTTATAGAACGACAATACTCCAGTATATACATCTAGCTTAGAACACTTCTTTGATTCCAAACTCATATACAATTGCTTAGTAGACAGTTGTTGGGAAAATATATTAAAAACAGAAGCCCCTGCCTTCCCCGCAGAAGGTAGTTTTGCAATTTGGTGAAGGAGCTCTTTGAATTTAGGCTTCTACCCTCTTGCAGAAACTGAGAGACAGAGTGTATCTTCCTTGATGATAATATTTCAGAGTGACGGTTCCCAGGTCCTTAAGAAAGACAGTCTTGTGTCCTGAAGCTAATAAGAGGATTGACATATATCCTAAAGTTAATCAAGTAGCATTAGATCTGTCTTCTTTAGTCTCTACTTAAAAGTGCCAGATTTCTGTTTGTATGTTAATTAAATGCTTTTCTTTTCTGCAGCATCCTTCCAACCAAATCAATCAATAAAACATTTTTGTATTGAATTTAGGACTTAAGTACTTGGATGCATGTTAATTACTTTTACTGTTATCAAAAATGACTAATCAAGACTGTCCAACTTTTACTCTATCAATAATCAGATTGTTCGACTTATAAATCCAAATCCTGTTTGTGCTGATCAGAAATAGACTGTGGAGTCATTACTGGGAGTACACAAACAAAAAGTAATGTAACAAATAACATGTTTTCTAGTAAAATGTGATTCTTAAAGTAATTGAAATAAACCTACTGTGAATATGGCAGCAAAGTAGTCTATGAGAATTTTAGTAAGTTTGCTAGAGTAAACCTTTTAGTTCAGTACTGATATCAGTTATTTTAGAAAAACTTAAATTTCTAAGTCCTTTGTAAGACAGTCCTGTCTTACAAAGGAGGAGCTGGCTTCCCACAGGAGGCACAAATCCAGCTGAATTTGTTTTGGTTTGAGTTTTATCTTGGGCTAATCAGCCGCACCTTTTTAAAAGTTTAAAAAAAAAAGCCATATGCGTCATTATCAGCACTTGAAAGGGTCTCTCCCTTTGTGGTTACAGCCCATCTTGTCTTCTTGTGGGACACTTTTGTGTAGTTAAACCTGTTTGATAGCTGTAGCCGGATTCTTTGCCTGTGTTCTTCCAGGTCCTTATGACTTTATGTCTCAGGGTTTCTAGGGAAGAAAAAAGCCTTTTTCTAATACTGAAAGCATGGTTATGAGAGGATTCAGATAAATTAAACAAAGGATGTTGTCTAAGACCCAAATTCAAAGGTCTGCCACATATAAATTTAAAGGGAGAGATTCAGTGTTTGCTCACAGGTATCACTCCGTTTTTTTTGAACAAGGCTAGTGGTAAAGATCTAGGCCATCTCAACATACTACAATTACCTCATACTCCTTAGCCTATCCTACTTCTCCATGACTGCCCACTCTTCATCAAACCTAAAATAAAACACTCAGGTCTAACGGTTTCTTTGGGTCTTCACTTACTTATGAAGGCTCCCACGTCACATAAAACTTAAACTTATGCTAAATAATTTGTATGCTTTTCTCCTGTTACTCTGTCGTTGTCAATTTGACTTTCATACCCAGCCAGGGTCCAGAAGAGGGTCAAGGAAAACTTTTTCCTCGCCTACAATAAGCAAACACAAACAAGAATTTAGACTTGTCTGCTAGAGGAACAGAAATAAAGAAATTGCAGGGCATTCATAGATCAATTACAGAGTAAAGCTTTACAAAAAATGGTACCAAAGTCAGAAATCAGAACAATTACAGAGTTAGAAACAACAGGAATAATGTTGGTATAATATAATAATATAATATAGTATTGTTGATATAATATAACAATAATAATGATATAATAAGGAATAATAATGACTAAGATTTTTGTACTAGAGTATATAGTGGTCAATTATCTTTATCAAATTTACCTTCATTTTTACTGGAAATACGGTGTATTGCAGGATCTAAATTGTCTCTAAGCTTGTTATATAATAATAAATATAATAATATTAATAGTAATGTTGTTTTCATAAACTGCCTTGAGGTCCATATAAACCTACATTTATTCTTTCTGTATATTAAGTTAATACATATTTTTGTATGCTGAAAATGTGACAGTTATTTGACTATGCTTAATTAAAATAAAATAATTTTAAATTAGCTATTTTACTTAGATTAAGACATATTTTTTTAAGTTAAAAAGCCAAACTTAGTACAGTGGAGAATTCCATACAACATAATCTATATTATAAGAATCATCAAACCTCGAACCCAAAGAGCAAAATATCTATACTCCCAAGTACATGATGTGGAATAAAATAAAATGAATGCAACCCCATAGAAAAGCACATTACCCTCAGAACTTGGGCTTTTATTACCTTTTAAACATCTTTTCATTGTACAATTGGAATATCAGAAAAGAAAAAAAAAACTGAAGAAAAGTAAATGCCAAGTAGAATCACTAAACTGAACGCTGCCTCAGCAAATTAAACTTTGTCTAGTAGCACAGCAACTTTCTATTCATTTATCATTTCATACTAATTTTACAAATTAACCTGGGGTACTGCAGAATATGGATTATCTCAATTACAGAAATGTGATTTCCATTATCATTCCATTATTATTCCATTCTACTTATATCTATGTTAATAAGTCTCAAGAATAGCTTTGACTCATAATTCACGCCTAGAAATTTCTCCACCGTGAGCTCACTTAAGCATGGTTATCCAGGATTCACATTCATCATTATATTTAAATATGATTTCAAAGACTAAAATTCTTATTGCCCTGCAATGAGAGGTTAGATATTAAAAATAAGAATAAAATGAGTAAATGTAAGGCATGTAACCATAAACTTTTAATATCCCCCAATGCTCCAGGGAGGCACTTGGAAGAAGTGTTTAAGTGTAGGGAATTTGGACTCAAAACCCTCCTCCACTAATACATTGCTATGCCAGTTATTAGCCATGTAAACTTTCCAGACCTCATTTACCTTGTGTATACTTTAGGAACTATAGTAGAATTTACTTTATAGGGTTATTTTAAGGAGTATATAATAAAACTTATGTAAAATACTTAGCAGAGTTTTATTTTCATACTGTATGTTTAGCAAAGACTATGAGAAACCCAAGAGAATAAATTATATATTTCTAGAGCCTGATGATTATTTTTAAAGCCAGTATACATTTCCCAGCATCATAAGCTGAAAATGTCAGTCATTTTTGTATCTTTCTATAGCCTCCACTACCAGATAAAATAAGTTTTTATTCTTATATAGATTATTCTCATTATGTCACAAACCATCAGACAATGCCAGCTGTCAACAATATTGTGGATCAATTTCTCAGTCTAGCCCACAAGTCACCAAGCTAACACTTAGCTTCTTCTGATCTCTCTCTAATTTGTATGGCCTGCCATTCACATTGGAATATGAACTGTTGCCAAAACATGCAAAATGCTCGTCTAAGCTTTTGCCTTTCAACATATTGTTTCATTTCTCTAAAATTCATTATCTTTCCTATTTACCTATGTGAATTATTATTCCTCCCCACAAAATCCTTGCTGATATTCCCACCAACACTCAGAATCTATTAAAAATCTTACCTGTTACATTTTGTTTGCAACTCTCATATGGCTGTCCCTTGCATCATAGTCATTTGTTTTTATTTGATTCCAAAAAATTGGATTATAGTTTCCCTGAATAGAAATCCCATATCTTACTAATCTTTTCCTGTTCTGCATTGCAAATCAGGAAGATGTAGAGACCGCGGTTAATTGGAAATATTTTCTAATTTGAACACAGAACATGCACTCTTCTCTTAAATACACTGAAACAAATTAAATAAGGAGACACAAAATTTAGAAACTCATTTGCACTCCTCCAGGATAAGTTTTATTTGTATGTTAATATAGTATGAAGTTAGAGAAAAACAATTTCATTAAACGATGAAAGAAAAAAAATGCTAAAGCTCAAAAACAAGTTAAAATCTTCATGGGCTAGAAACACAATCTCAGGCTATATCCCTGAGACATCTAAGTATGGCATTACGTATAGATGACTTGGAGCTTGCTCTTCTAAGTGATGTGGAACACAAACCTCCAAACACAAATTTGTGTATAAGATTTAGTCTCACTACTTCATTCTCAGAAAACAGGCTGGAGAAGTTTCAATGACTACTACCTGAGGCTGTGGCTAAGGACATGGGATCCAACAGACAGAGCCTTGGAAACTGTGTCTGAGGGACTGAGCTGAAATATCACTGCTCACTACTTCATATGGAATATAATCATTGTCATAATGTGGTAGGGGCCCTAATCAATTAGATGAGCCTGGGTTTAGAGTGGGGATTCCCAGGGGAATGTTGGAGACAAGCAAAATAAGCAGCAGCTGAACAAGGTGAGTGAGAGAAGAGGTGGTGAGTGAGAGAACACACAAAATGAACTTGGAGACCCACAATGCAAAATGAAATATAACCTAAGAAAGACAGTCAGCCAAATTAACAACTAAAATATGAAATCCTTCTGGATGAAATTAAAGAACACAATAAACTAAACTTTGTGAAAAAGCATATTAATAAATTCCAAATAGGTAAACCAAGAAATAACTTCTAATTGGTTTATTTAAGGTGTTAATAAACATATAAGATAGTTATTATATTTTAAAAAATAAAATACAATATTGAAATTTTAGCAGATATTGACATGAGAAGATTTTCACTAAGTATTCTGACTGTACTCTTTGTGTAAAATATAAGCATGAGAGGAAAACTTTATAAATCATTATTCATGAAGTAAGAGGGAAGAGGCAGAAAGGGAGAAAAAGGAAAGAGATGTTAAGTAAAATTATAAAAAATTAAAAAATATAAATAATTTGTAATATATAATAATCATAATAAATATAAGTTGATTAGAGTAAAATGATTATTAGTTGGTTTTTAAAATCCTTCCACATACTTTTTTACGTGGAAGGAGTAACGCAATAGAACAAACACAGAAACATACACATGCAGACAGGTGGAAAATAAAGGGATCACAAGAGTAGACCAGGCAAACAATAACTGAAAGAAACATGTGCACACACTCACACACACACAATAACAAAAATCCATTATAAAGGATAAAAAAAGGATATTGGATAGCAAATGAAGAAGACACAATCATGATAAAAACTTACAAACCTAACCATATAACATAACATACAGTACAAAATCTGACAGCATTAAAGGAGAATACAATACCACAGTCAGAGAGGGTGGCCTAAATATACCTACATACAAACTATTAAATCAAGCAAACCAAGTTATCAGAAAAGGATGGAAAAGATTTGAACCACTGAATTAGTCCAGTAGGTAGGTCTTAATAAGGTGATTTGTATTTCTCTGATAATTAATGATATTGAGCATTTTCATGTGCCTATTGATAATCTGTAAGTCTTCATTGGAAAAATATCTATTTACATCTTCTGCCCATTTTTTGATTGGGTTGTTTGTTTTTTCAATGTTGAGATATATGAGCTGTTTGTGTATTTTGGAAACTAATTTCTTTTTTTTTTTTTTACACTTTTTTATTGATTCATAATCATTTTACAGTGTTGTGTCAAATTCCAGTGTTCAGCACTGGAAACTAATTTCTTATTGGTCATATTGTTTCCAAATATTCTATCCCATTCTGTAGCTTGTCTTTTTGTTTTGTTTATGGTTTCCTTAGTTGTGTAAAAGCTTGTAAGTTTAATTAGGTCCCATTTGTTTATTTTTGCTTTTATTTCTGTTGCCTGGATAGACGGCCCTAGGAGAACATTTGCCTATGTTCTCTTCTAGAAGGTTTAGAGATTTATGGTGTCCTGCCTTATGTTTAAGTCTTAAATCCATTTGGAGTTTATTTTTGTATATGGTGTGAAGGAGTGGCTAATTTTCCCAACACCACTTGCCTAAGAGACTGTCTTTTCTCCATTGTATATTCTTCCCTGCATTGTTGAAGATTGATTGACCATAGATGTGTGAGTTTATTTCTGGGCCCTCTATTCTGTCCCATTGATCCATGTCTGTTTTTGTGCCAATACCATGTGGTTTTAATTACTGTAGCTTTGTAGTGTTGTCTGAATATTGGCCTCCTTATGCCTCCAGCTTCATCCTTTTTTTTGTTTTCCCAGTATTGCTTTGGCAATTCTAGGTCTTTTTGTGACTCTGTATAAATTTTAGGATTATTTGTCCTATTCCTGGGGAAAATGTCCTGCGTAATTTGACAGGGATTGCACTAAATTTGTAGATTGCTTTGGGTAATGTGGCTATTTTAACAGTATTAATTCTTCCAATCCAAGAACATGGGGTATTTTTCCATTTCTTTGAAATGTAACTCAAAGCTACAATGATGTATCACCTCTCATTGACCATCATAAAAAGTCCATGAATGCTGGAGAGGGTGTGGAGAAAAGGGAACCCTGTTGGTAGGAATGTAATTTGGTGCAGCCACTAAGGACAAGTATGGAGGTTCCTTAAAAAACTAACAATAGAGTTATCCTATGATCCAACAATCCTACTCCTGGGCTTATATCTGGATAATACTTTAATTTGAAAAGATACAAGGACCCCAATGCTCACAGCAGCACTATTTACAATAGCCAAGACTTGGAAGCAGCCTAAATGTCCATTGACAAATGGTTGGATAAAGAAGATGTGGTGTATATATTATATATAAATATATAAAGGAATACTACTCAGCTATAAAAAAAGAATGAAATAATGCCATTTTCAGCAACATGGATGGACCTAGAGATTATCATACTAGTAATAAAAGGTGTGAAGGGCCAAAAAAAAAAAAATGTTGCGTAGAGTCACTGACTTATGATAGTTTGTTATGCAGCATTATTGTGGCAAGTTGTAGCTGACACTTTTGGAGTACCAATAAGCTAACAACTGGGATTCAACTGCATTGCAGTCATTGAATATGAAATCTGCAAAATATTTTTTTTTCTCTTTTTTTCTCCCTTTTTCAGAGAAATCATTTGCCCCTCCACAATGGAAAAGGTGCAGTGTACATTTTTTTCCCTAGATGGTGCTCTGGTTCTTCTGTAAAATTATACCGTATTTATATGGTTTGTTCATTGTTCCTAGAGAATAAGGGTTTTTATCCCTTGACCTCTGGTGCCAAAGTCAGTGCAGGTAAGAGTGCTGCTTCTTCCTCCATGTATTGCCAGACATCTGGCAAATGCCTTTCTTTCTGCCCCATGCAGTCCTATATAGCTCTGCCTCTTTGCAGATTACCCAGCAGTGGAAAGAAGCTCCATGTTGGTAAGCAAGGCTTTGCATTCATTTTTGTATTTGACTATCCACTTTCTTGCTGCACAGCCAAGCAAACCTCTAGTGTTTCTGGCTCACTCAAAGCTCTATGTGGAATAGGAAGTTCCCTATTGCTGACACCGTTTGTTTCAGTTCTGGGAAATGCACAGCCACTGTAACATTGCTTTCTAGCTATGGCAGTGGAATTTGCTGCCCCACTGCCATCGTAGCATCCCTTTCTTCTCCTACCTGGAGGTGAATAGGCAATAGTCAAATCACCATTCATGGATTTGTTCCAATTTTACTTCTGATTGTTCAGCCTCATTATCAGATAGGTCATGGAAAGACCTTACTCTTACCAGCCCATCACTTGGGCCAAAGCTTTTCCTACCCAGTCCCAGGGAATGTGCCCATATCCCCAAATCCACATCGCAGGGCCCTTGCGCTTCTTGTGATTTAGTCATTTTAAACATGGCATGCTTATCAACATGCTATACTCATCCCCAAAATTGTTGGGTCTAGAATTCAATTTTAGCCTTCCTTTTTTTTTTTAACATTTTTTATTGATTTATTATCATTTTACAGTGTTGTGTCAAATTCCAGTGTTCGGCACAATTTTTCAGTCATTCATGGACATATACACACTCATTGTCACATTTTTTTCTCTGTGATTTATCATAACATTTTGTGTATATTTCCCTGGGCTATACAGTGTAATCTTGTTTATCTATTCTACAATTTTGAAACCCCAGTCTATCCCTTCCCACCCTCTACCCACCCTGGTAACCACAAGTCTGTATTCTCTGTCCATGAGTCTATTTCTGTCCTGTATTTATGCTTTGTTTTTGTTTGTTTGTTTGTTTTTGTTTTTTAGATTCCACATATGAGC